CAAGCTCCGCCCAGACCCCGCCCTTTGGAGTGAGCAGGCCCCGCCCTTCCCTCCCCCTCCCCCAGCTAGCCCTGGGGCCTCCGCGGAGGCCGGTCCTCGGGCCCCTTGGTGCTCCCCGCTGGGAGGCGGGGTGGGCCTGAGGACCGCCCGGCCCTGCCTTCAAGAGGACGGGTCACTACTGCAGACCCCACCGCAAAGATCCGGTTAGCCCACTTCCTGACGTCCACAAGGCCTCCCTGGAACCTCCCCAACCCTGGTTTGCCCTGATCCAGGAGCCCGGGTTGACCAAAGCCTAGTCCCGTCCCTTTAACATGCCCCCACCCCTTTCCTGTGGCTTGGGGTGCGTCCTGCTCCGAGGCCGTTCCTCTCTGGAGGACACCCTGACTAGCCCCGGTGTGTTCGTGTCCCGAGCAGACAAGGCTGGTGGGAGCCCTGCACGGCCCGTTCCCGCTGGCTCAAGCCCCGGCTAGAGAGAGCACAGCTGGACCCCGAGCCCGCACATTGGCGGCGCTCCCCGTCCTCCGGCCGCCCTGACACGGGCCCTGCAGGAGGGTTTGGGGGAAGCAGCAATGGAGGGGGTACCTGGGAGGGGAAAAGAGGACGTGGGTGTGGACGCTGGCAGGATCCATCCCAGAGCTGAGTCCCGGCAGGGCGTGAGTCAGACTATCTGCCCAACACCGACAGGAGGCCCCTAGGTGGGTGCCAGGATAGAGTGGGAGGAGGGAAGCAGATGCATGGGGTGGATGAGCGGGAGGGAACGTATAGGCGGTCCAGAAGGGGCTCCTACCCGCTAACGTAGGGGGGGACAAAAAAGATTGGACGTTCCCAGTTGGGAGCGGGTGCCGGAGCGAGCTAGTTGACCAGGGCGGGGTCCACTGGAGGGGTGGGGGTATGACTACACGAACGGCCTCGCGTGCTTGCTCTGGCCTTGCCCTATGCTGTGGGCTGGAGACACGAGGCTGGCGGCCAGGCTCCGGTCCCCGGAGCGCACATGCATTGGTCCACGGCCCTCGCTCATTAAGAGCGAGTGACCCTGAGAGGGAACTAGGCCGGGCCTCGCAAGAGCCCTCCTGGACTCCCGGCACTCCCCATCGCGGCCAGGAGAGGACATCAATTGAATGGTGAACGTCCCCCACACCTCTATTCCCGGCTCTCGCCCCCGCCCCGTGCACTCCCGCCCATCCCCCCAACGCCTGCGCGCCCGCCTTGGCCTAGCGCGTTTGCAGCCGCCACGCGCCCCGCTCACCCCACCCGCCTTCGCGGCCTCCCAAGTCCGGCCGCCCCGCCCCTTCCCCCCGGGACCTCAGCTTTCCGCCCAACGCCTGAGGGCTGGCTGGCCAGGAATGACCCTGGACCGGGATTATTTCCAGGGGGCGAACGCTTTCCAACCAAGTAAAACAGAACTCAAATTAGACATTGCTTCCTCTTTGGGGGTGGGGGAATTGTGGGTGGGACTTGGACGGAGGACCTCCGACCGGCTGGGCCCGGCTGGGCGGGTGAGGGAGGGAAAGGAAGAGGGCCTTGGGATGAGGTAGGAGGACAAGGAGGAGGCCTTGGGACGCGGTGGGGGACGGGGCAGAGGGCCTTGGGATGCGGTGGGGGACGGAGAGGAGGGCCTTGGGACTCTGTGGGGGACGGGGAGGAGGGACTTGGGACTCTGTGGGGTACGGAGGTCCTTGGGACTCGGTGAAAGGACAAGGAGGAGGGCCTTTGGACGCGTTGGGGGACGGGGAGGAGACCTTGGGACACTGTGGGGGACGAGGAGGAGCCTTGGGACGCGGTGGGAGGCGGGGAGGAGGGCCTTGGGACGCGATGGGGGACGGGGAGGAGGCCTTGGGATGCGGTGGAAGGACAGGGAGGAGGGCCTTGGGACGCGGTGGGGGACGGGGAGGAGGCCTTGGGACACGGTGGAAGGACAGGGAGGAGGACCTTGGGACCCGGTGGGGGACGGGGAGGAGGCCTTGGGATGCGGTGGGAGGACGCTGAGAGAGGACTCGGGACGCGGTGGGATGACGAGGAGGCGGCCTTGGGACATGAGGGTGAGGGGACGAGGAGGAGAGATCAGGACCGGTGCGTGTCCCTTGGGTCTCACGGGCCGCCAAACCCCCTCCAAAGGAGCCCGCCACCGTCCCCGCTGCCCACTCCGCCTCCCAGACCCCGCTAAAAAGGAACTGCTCTGTTGGCTGGATTTAATCACCACCCATTCCCGGTTCCCAGTTCCCTGTTCCCCTTTAAGGGGGACCGGCGTGGTCTCAGCGTGCAAGGAGCTTGATTGCCATTGGCCAGTCTGTGCCGCAGGTGGGCGGCACGATTGGTTGAGGCTCTGGGCTCGAGCAGCATGCCCCCGCGCGATTGGTCACGGACTCCTAGAGCCCGCCTCTTGCACGGTTGACTCAACCCGGGATCGCTGGGGGAAGGGCCGCGGTCTGCAGGGGCGGGCGGGCTGTGGGGAACATGGCGGCGGCGGACCTCGCCCAGATCGCCGATGTGGACATCGATTCCGACGGCGTCTTCAAGTACGTGCTGATTCGAGTTCATTCGGCGCCACCGTCCGAGGCCCCGGCCGGGGAGAGCAAGGAGATCGTGCGCGGCTACAAGTGGGCCGAGTACCATGGTGAGGGCGGAGCCGGAGGGCGTTTTCGGGGCGGGGCTGAGGGCCGGGGCGGGGTCAATCGGCTAAGGGGCGTGGTTGGGTCGGGGGCGGGGCTTAGGGGCGTGGCGAGAGACGATCCTGTACCAGGTCTGAATCTGGGCTGGCTCAGGGAATCAGGGTCCTGGAGGGCAAGGGGCTGCCATGGCCCGACCCCTGTCTCCTAGTCCCAGCGCTCTTGCCCGGGTGCACGCCTTCCTCCCTCTCATGGCGTCCCAGCCTGGAGGGGCTCCTCTCCTGCAGAAGGAGCTGCTCAGAGCTGGAGCTTCAGATGCCCTGGGCCTCCGAGGGCCATGGCCGGTGCTGAGCTACCTTCCCTGTCCCAGCTGACATCTATGACAAGGTATCGGGCGAGATGCAGAAGAAGGGCTATAGTTGTGAGTGCCTGGGAGGCGGGCGCATCTCCCACCAGAGCCAAGACAAGAAGATCCACGTGTATGGCTACTCCATGGTGAGCCCACAGCCCGGGTCGGGGGTTGAGAGACCAGCTCTCACAAGCACTCGCTGCCCTGCACCCCGGAGGCCTGCAGTGCTGGGGGTTCTCTGGGCTGTCTCAGCTGCAGACCCCTCCCTCCAGTGGCTTGCCTATTTCCCACGTGGGGTGGGAGGGAGGCCCCTGCCTGCCCCCCCCAGCCACAGGGGGCCATGTCCTGTTCCTACACCAGGCCTGGCTGGGCCATCACTGCCCTCCAGCTCTTGGAGGCAGTCAGTTTTGGGGTGAAGCTCAGAAGCCCCTCCCTCTGCCTTCTCCAAGCCGCGGTCGTTACCCCGTCTCTCTTGGCACCTGGGACAGCCCTCTAGCCCAGGGCCCACCCTCAAGGACTGCTCACCTTGGCAGCCACCTTTCCTCAGGAGAGCTCCCTGGGGCAATCAGGGAGGGATGGCCCCGTGTGGCTCTACCCGGGGACCCCTCCCCAAGCCAGCTCCTGGGTTTTGCTGCTGATGGACGCCCAGAGCCAGGATGGGGCTGTAAGATTGGCTTCTCTCTTCAGGGTTATGGTCGTGCCCAACACTCTGTCTCCACTGAGAAGATCAAAGCCGTGTACCCTGACTACGAGGTCACCTGGGCCGATGACGGCTACTGAGGCCTGCCCAAGGGGCCAGCTGTACCCCCTGGCCAGGCGCTGGAGACCAACACCAGCCTGGCCCAAGTGCCCCGGTTTACCTCACCCACAGGAATTAAAAATGTTATCACCCCTGCTGTTCCCCAGATGCTGTGTGTCTTGATTTTTCTGCTTCCCGGTCACCCCTGGGGACCCCTGACTAGAGGGGGTGGGTGGCAGAGAGCCGGGGGTGGCCCTGGAAACAGCGGGGCCCCTGCTGGCTGCCCCACACCCGGCTCCACATCTGGGGGCCCCAGGGAGTGGCAATGCACAGTCAGCCCTTTGCGGTCTGATAAGGGGGCCCCTGCGCCGCTGCCCCCATTTATGGCCTGATTGCTCCTCCATATGGCTCCTATGTCCAAGGACATCTGGGAGGAGGCTCTTCGAGCCCTTGAGCAAGGAAGTAGCATGGGTCCCTCGGGGCCAGCTGATACCAGTGTTCCCGCGTGATCTGCTGTTGGAGGTCACATGTGACGTGACCCAGGACCCCTTCCAAGACCAGGTCCCACGGCACCTGACCCACAGCCACAGGCCCCTGCTCAAAGTAAACGGCTGAGGCTTCAGACTTGGAGCTGGGAGCCCCCTTCCCAGGACCCCCTCCCCTCCTCCCAGTGCAGGGCTGTGGGGGACCAGCTGTGGCAAGTGGATGTAGTATGGGGGAGGGGAGAGCCAGGCACGGCTGAGCGGCTGTCCTGTGGCTCCCCGTGAGCATGGGTGCCATCTCGTGGTGCGTGCCTTCTGTGAGCTCACGGGAGCCTCCCGGTCACCGCTCCAGGCAGGCGCTATTGTGACCACATGCCACTGATGAGGAGACAGGTCCGGTAAGGCAAGCTCCGGAGGTCCCACCGTGGTCAGTGGCAGTCAGACCCTGGGGTGTGTGCCTGGCAGCCCCCAGCCGCACTGCCCAGAACGGTTCTTGGATAAGTGATTGTCATTTAGCCTTGAATAAGCCAACTGGAAGCCACAGACTGGGCTCCAGAGAAGGATGAAGCCCCTGGTTGCTTGGGGCAGGGGGCCGGGGGGCATGGTGTGCACATGTGGGGGTCCTGCTCCGAGCTCTGGGGGACCCCAGAGCCTGACGGGGTCACCGCAGCGCCTCCCCCACCGGGCCTCCACCAGGCAGGGCTGGGCAGCGGTGGGCACGACGACTGCGGCCCGACCTTTGGTCTGAGGGAGCCGGGCGGGTGGGAGGCGACCTGGGCCAGGGGCCCCTCTCCTGGACACTTTTACAGCCGGATGTTCATCCTCATCAGCACGGGGTGGGGCCTGCTGACGGGCCGTGGGTACAGAAGGGGCCAAGGCCCCACTCTCCAGTTGGGGCAGAGTCAGCCTGTGGGGCCACAGACAGATAACTGGGCAAAATAGCCACAGGCCGCCTAGCGCGCACACCGTTCGCTCCCCCCGGCCCGGCCATGCCTCTGCCCGGCCACCTCCTGCCTGCCCTGGTCCTGCTCGTGGGTGAGTTGTCGGATCTGGCTGCTGAAGCAGGGTCAGCCATGGGCACAGGTGCCAGGCCTGCAGGGGAGGAGGGGTGCAAGGCCCTGGGTGAACTTGCGGCGGGGGGGGGTTGGCAAGACAAGCCGTTGGGAAAGGGGCAAGAATTCTGCTTCCTCCGGCCCCCAAAGTCCACAGGTCCCAAGGCAAGACCCTAGTCCACCACTCTTAGACCAAATGGAGCCTGAGGAGGGGGCAGGGGCACCCTCCTGGCAGCCCCTCCCGTTCCTTATTGGGCTCCGGCTCCCCTCCTGGGGGGCTGTCCCATGGTAGGGGCCCTTGGTCCCATACTCACATACCCACCGCCATCCCACCATGCAGCCACCCTCTCCCAGGCCAGATGTACTCTGCCTGGCCCCGACTGGGAGCCCCGGGTGACAGGACCCAGCCCCCTCCCCACCTGACCTCTTGGCCCCGGGCCCCAAAGCAGGAGAACAACGTTGTGGGTTGCCTGGGAGTGGGAGGTCACCCTGCCTCCAGCCACCTGGCTATCTCTCTGCTAGCAGCTGGGCCCCCAGGCTGGGCCTGGATCCCCAACAACTGCAGGGTCCCCCGCGAGGCCACGTGCAACTTCGTGTGTGACTGTCCAGGCTGCTCCGAGGAGACCCAGTGTGGTAAACTGGGGCTGGGCAGGGGGCAGGCAGGCCCACCCTCTGCAGGCGGCCGCTGACCTCCCGCTCTCCAGGTTACCACGGAGCCTCGCCCGCCCTGGGCGCCCCCTTCGCCTGCGACTTCGAGCAGGACTCCTGCGGCTGGCAGGACATCAGCACCTCAGGCTACAGCTGGCTTCGAGACCGGGCGGGAGCTGCCCTGGAGGCTCTGGGGCCGCGCTCAGACCACACTCTCGGCACGGACCTCGGTGAGGCCGGGCGGGTCTCCGTGATGCCCCCTCCCCTCTACTCCCGGCCCCATGTCCTGACCTCTCTGCTGGGCCAGGCTGGTATATGGCTGTTGGCACCCACCGTGGGAAAGAGGCCTCCACCGCAGCCGTGCGCTCCCCAATCCTGCACAACGCAGCCCCCACCTGTGAGCTGAGGCTCTGGTACCACGCGGCGTCTGGAGGTGGGTGCCCAGGACCCCGCTGCCGGGTGGCGGGTCCTGAGGGGAGAGACCCAAAAGGAAGGAGGGCGGCTGCAGAGCCTGAGAGATCACCCCATAGGAGGGACAAGCGTCCTAGGGCAGGGCACAGCCAGCAGGCTGGGGGAAGCCCTGGGGCCTGAGCCACCCCAGGACCCCCCCATTCCAGATGTGGCTGAGCTGCGGCTAGAGCTGACCCACAGGGCCGAGACCTTGACCCTGTGGCAGAGCTCCGGGCCCTGGGGCCCAGGCTGGCAGGAGCTGGTGGTGGCCACTGGCCGTATCCAGGACGACTTCCGGGTAAGCTGGGAGTGGTCTGGGTGCTGGGGGCAGCAGGGAGGGTCTGAGCCCGGACGTAAGTCCTAAGGACCCCACTCTTTTCAGGTGACCTTCTCTGCCACTCGAAATGCCACCCACAGGGGCACCGTGGCCTTGGACGACGTGGTCTTCAGGGGCTGTGGGCTGCCCAGTAAGGCCCCCCTGCCATGGACCCACACCTGGGGGGGGCGGTTAGCAGGAGCCCCTCACCTGCTCACTCCCAACTCAGATGGTTTTGAGCCTCTCCCCCAGCTGCCCCGGCCCCAAGGTTTGGGGTCACTGTGATGGGCTGCCCCTCCCCCATCTCAGCTCCCCAGGCACACTGCCCCCTGGGGCATCACCATTGCCAGAACATGGCCTGTGTGGAGCCCCACCAGCTATGTGACGGGGAGGACAACTGTGGGGACGGCTCAGACGAGGACGCACCGGCCTGCCGTGAGCTGGAGGGGCTGCTATGGACCATCCAGAGAACGTGGTGGGGCGTGGGGCATAGGGCGGGCAGAGAGGCCCTGCTGGCAGTCTGAGCACACCCCGCCCAGGCCACTACACAGCCACGGACTTTGAGACGGGCCTGGGCCCGTGGAACCACTCGGAGGGCTGGGCCCGGAACCACAGTGCCAGTGCCAGGCCACGAGCCTGGCCGCACCGCGACCACAGCCGGAACAGTGCGCACGGTGAGGCCCGCCGGGGACACTGGTCCACACCCACCACAGTCCCGCCAGCCCGGCCCACACCTGTCTCTCCCCAGGCTCCTTCCTGGTCTCCGTGGCCGAGCCCAGTGCCCCCGCTGTCCTTTCCAGCCCCGAGTTCCAAGCCTCAGGCGCCCGCAACTGCTCGGTGAGGCGGGTGGGGGACACAGGGTGGCCTGTCCCGGGGGCCCAGGCTCGCGGGTCTCCCTGACCTTCCTCGGCTTCTTCTCAGTTAATCTTCTATCACTACCTGCATGGGTCCGAGGATGGCTACCTTCAGCTGTTCCTGCAGACTCGGAGCCCGGGCTCCCCCCAGGGCCCCGTCCTGCTGCGCAGGCGCCATGGGGAGCTGGGGGCCGCCTGGGTCCGAGACAGGGTCGACATCCAGAGCGAGCACCCCTTCCGGGTGAGGCTGGAGAGAGCAGTGGCCGGGATGGGGGGGCACGTGGGAGGTCTGGAGGGCCCCCACAGGTGGGGCAGGGGAGCTCGGGGGCTGGCCCCATCGCTCCAGGCCGCCTCAGCAGGAAGCTGGTTTGCTTGTTGGTGAGCTCCGGGAGGACGCCCCAGGGAAGGAGCGGTCACTTTCACAGCCCCTCTTGCAGGGCCGTGTGGGGGGCGGTGACCAGAGAGGGTGTCCAGTGACATGGAAAGTACGAGGCAGGGAGAGGGAGGCTGGAGGGAGCCGACCTGGGCAGGATAGAAGGGTGCTAGGGCACGCCCTGAGCCCCCTGCGCCCTCAGATCCTGCTCACTGGGCACACGGGCCCGGGCGGCGTCGTGAGCCTGGATGACCTCATCCTGTCGGACCACTGCCAGCCAGTCCCAGGTGGGCCTGCCGAGCCCCTCCCCTCCCCGGAGAAGCGCCACCCCTGCCTGCCTGAGCCCTGTTCTGCCCCCACAGAGGGGTCCAGCCCGCCTGCTGGGCTCTGGGCCCCCGTCCCCCAGCCTCAGGACTTCTGCGAGCCAGGACATCTTTCCTGTGGGAACCTGTGTGTCCCCCCGGAGCAGCTCTGTGACTTCCAGCAACAGTGCCAGGGGGGCGAGGATGAGCAGGAATGTGGTGAGGGGCGGCTGGAGCCGGGGAGAGGTGGGGCCCTCTTGGTCCGTACCCTCCCCGCTGCCCCTCAGCGCGGGCTACCGTTCCAGGCAGCACGGACTTTGAGCCCCCCACGGCCGGGGGCTGGGAGGATGCCAGCGTGGGGCGGCTGCAGTGGGGGCGTCTCCGCGCCCAAGAGAGCAGAGACCCTGGCTCGGATGCCAGCTCGGCTGCTGCTGGTGAGGCCCATGGCCGCGCACCGTGCCCACAGAGGGCTCCCTGCTCCGCCTCTTCGCACTAGGGCATGTGTCTGCGTCGGGGGTCCCTGGCAGGAACTGGCTCTCAGAGGCCTCGCTCTTCCTCAGGGCACTTCCTGTCCTTGCAGAGGGCCTGGGGACAGCCGGCGGCGGAGGCCCGGGTCCTCACTCCTCCCCTGGGCCCCTCGGGCCCCCGCTGTGAGCTCCGCATGGCTTACTATTTCCACAGTTACCCCCAAGGTACCGCCCTGAGACTGACAAGAGCTCCCCGATGCGCCCTGTGGGAGGGTGGCGGTGGGGCGGGCCAGGTGGACCCACGGTGACCCCCTGGGCCAGGCTTCCTGGCCCTGGTCGTGGTGGACGGCAGCAGCCGTGAGCTGGTGTGGCAGGCCCCAAGCAGCAGCAGGGGCTGGAAGGTGGACACGGTCCTTCTTGGGGCACGCCGCCGGCCTTTCCGGGTGAGGAGTACAGCCTGGGGGGCAGGGGGTTCACCGAGCCAGCCCTGACTTAATAGCCGCCTCCCTTGTGCTATTTATGAAGCTGGAGTTTGTTGGCCTGGTGGACTTGGACGGCCCTGGCCAGCAGGGCGCTGGAGTGGACGATGTGGCCTTGAAGGATTGCAGCCCCGTGACCGCCACTGAGAAGGACTCAGGTCCCCAGTCCCTACCCAGGGGCCTCCCACCCAGACCACCTAGAGGGACCCCCGGGGGCCCCCCCCAGAGGACAAGTCTCCACCCTCTCAGGACTCAGAGGGGCCGCGGTGCTGGGGTGTGCTGACCCCCCCCCCGCCCCACCCTCAGAGGTCTCCTGTAACTTTGAGCGGGACACTTGCGGCTGGCACAGCGGCCACCTCACAGATGCCCACTGGCGCCGAATCCAGAGCCGTGGCCCCGGGTACGACCACACCACGGGCCAAGGTAGCGTGGGGGCACCCCAAGCCCGGGGAGCAGCTCTCAGACTCGGCGGGGGAGGGGAGCGCGCCCACCTCGGGCCAAGACCCTCCCGGACGCTGGCATCTCTGCAGCTCAGCCCTGTGTCCCCACGGCAGGCTACTTCTTGCTCCTGGACCCCACGGACCCCCCGGCCCGGGGCCCTGGTGCCCACCTGCTCACCCAGCCCCAGGCCCCAGCAGCCCCTCAGGAGTGTCTCTCCTTCTGGTACCACCTCCACGGGCCCCAGATCGGTGAGTGACCTTGGGGCTGGGCAGGGGCTCCCCGTTCTGTCTCTCCAGAGCCCCCGAGGAGGGGTGGGAAGCCACCAGGAGTGGGGCTCTGGTCCCCTCCTACCCTCCCCTGCGTCTAGGGACACTGCGCCTGGCAGTGAGGCGAGAAGGAGAGGCAGAAACCGTCCTGTGGTCGCGAACCGGCGCCCACGGCAACCGCTGGCTCGAGGCCTGGGCCACCCTGCACCACCAGCCGGGCTCCGGCGCCAAGTACCAGGTGAGGCCCCACGCCGGGCGGGGCGGGCGGGCGGGCCAGGCCCCCAGCCGCTGACGGCCTCTGCCCCCAGCTGGTGTTCGAGGGCCTCCGTGATGGCTACCACGGCACCATGGCGCTGGACGACGTGGCCGTGCGGCCCGGGCCCTGCTGGGCCCCCAGGCAGTGCTCCTTCGAGGACTCGGCCTGTGGCTTCTCCAGCGGGGGCCGAGGCCTCTGGACACGCCAGGCCAATGCCACGGGCCACGCCTCCTGGGGCCCCCGCACTGACCACACCACAGAGACGGCTCAGGGTACGCGGCAGGGGTGAGGAGGGGGGAGGCAGGGGGAGTCAGACGCAGGCTGACATTGGCACCTCCCAGGGCACTACATGGTGGTGGACACGAGCCCACAGGCCCTGCCCCGTGGCCACGTGGCCTCCCTGACCTCAGAGGAGCACCAGCCTCTTGCCCAGCCTGCCTGCCTGACCTTCTGGTACCACCTGAGCCTCAGAAACCCAGGTGAGGGGCTGCAGGGTCTCCCCAGGCCCCCATGCCCAGGCTGCCCGGGAGCCCCCGAGCGGCCGTTCCCTCCCCGCCGCTGCTGACCGAGGCTGGCCACGCGGTGTGGCAGGCACCCTGCAGGTCCACGTGGAGGAGGCTGAGAGGCGTCAGGTGCTCAGCGTCAGTGCCCACGGAGGGTTTGCCTGGCGCCTGGGAAGTGTGGACGTGCAGGCCGAGAGGGCCTGGCGGGTGAGTGTGGGGGCAGCTGGCCTTCTCACCTTCGAGGGCTGTCCAGACTGCGCGAGGCGACCCTGCCCTGTGTCTGCCCAGGTGGTGTTTGAAGCGGTGGCCACCGGCGTGGAGCACTCCTATGTTGCACTGGACGACCTGCTGCTCCAGGACGGGCCCTGCCCCCGGCCAGGTGGGGAGCCCCCGGCCAGGTGGGGAGCCCCCGGCCTGGGCCCGGCACCTGCTAGGACTCATGGCCGGTACCAGCTCCATGCCAACCCCAAGATGCCTGGCCCAGGCCCCGGTCCCAGCAGCGGGGATGCCCCCGGAATAGAGAGGGGGAGTGGGGGCAGCCCTGCTCACCTGCCCGGGTCTCTTGCAGCTTCCTGTGACTTTGAGGCTGGCCTGTGTGGCTGGAGCCATCTGCCCTGGCCCGGCCTGGGAGGGTATAGCTGGGACTGGAGCAGTGGGGCCACACCTTCTCGCTACCCCCAGCCCCCTGTGGACCACACTCTGGGCACAGAAGCAGGTGGGTCTGAGCTGGGAAGGGGGCCCACCAGCCCAGCCCATCCAGGCTCCCATCGCACTCAAAGGTCACGGGTCGGTGGGGTCAACTCCATCCACTTAGTCCGGAGCCCTGCCCTCTGTCATTTCCAGGCCACTTCGTTCTCTTTGAAACGGGCGTACTGGGCCCAGGGGGCCGGGCAGCCTGGCTGCGCAGCCAGCCTCTGCCTGCCACCAAGGCCTCCTGCCTCCGCTTCTGGTACCACATGGGCTTTCCAGAGCACTTCTGTGAGTGGGGCCGGGCCGCCAGCGCCTGGGTAGAGGAAGGAGCCGGGGCCGGGGGCAGCCGTGCCCCACAGGCTTGGGGCACTGACCCGCCCTGGCCCCCTGCTTGCAGACAAGGGTGAGCTGCGGGTGCTCCTCAACAGTGAGCGGGGCCAGCTGACCGTGTGGAGCACGGGCGGGCCCCTGCGGCACCAGTGGCTGGAAGGACGGGTGGAGGTGGCCAGTGCCGAGGAATTCCAGGTGAGGCCCGGCGGCCCAGAGCTGGAGACCGGAGGCCTCAGGCAGGGCCGTCCTCCTCCAGCGCACGCAACCCCTTCTCCCTCCTCGTCAGATCGTGTTTGAAGCCACTCTAAGCGGCCAGCCGGCCCTGGGGCCCATTGCCCTGGACGACGTGGAGTATCTGGCCGGGCAGCACTGCTGGCCGCCCGCATCCAGCCAGGGTGAGCCCTGCCCAGGCCAGCTAGCCTTGCTCGGGACCTCGGCCTCCATCGGGCTCAGCAGCTCGCGGCCCATATGGCCGCCAGTGGCCCTGCTTCTGGCCCGAGAGGCCAGGAGAGTCACCGAGGCCGGGCCCAGCACCATCCCCTCCCTACCCCACTGTCCCCTCCGCCTTTTTTTTTAAAGATTTACTTACTGAGGGAGAGAACGAGCCCGTGCAAGAGCGGGTGAGTGGGGGGAGGGGCAAAGGGAGAGAGTCTTTCAAGCCGACTCCCTGCTGAGCGAGGAGACCGATGCCAGGCTTGATCCCATGACTCCGAGGTCAGGACCTGAGCTGAAATCAAGATCAGACCCCATCGCCTCCCCTTCTGTGCTAGGCCTCCCCTCGTCCTTGGTCCCTCGGGAGCTAAGCTGGGTCTGCATCCCCGTCCTGGCCTGTGCACTGCATGCTGTCACTCCTGGGAGGACCGGGGGGGGGGCGGGGGCTGACCCCGGAGGAGGTGCCCTGTCAGGCCAGAGACCACCCCCAGCCTGCTGTATCTTCATGACAAAGGGGCGGGTCTAGTTTGGGGCTGTGGCCCCCCAGGTCTGAACAGAGCAGCTGCCTGCCAGGTCCCCAGCCTTCCGCCTACTGGGGCCTCAAGGACGGGCCATCCCATGTGTCCTTGGCCGTCGGGGTAGGGCTGACAGGCAGGGCTCGAGTCCTGGGGCTCACGTGCCCCACGGCCCACAGGGGAAACGGCATTGGCCGCATCGGTGCCAACCATGGTCGGCAGCGCCCTCCTTGCCCTCGTCCTGCTGGTGCTGCTTGGACTCGTGGGACGGCACTGGTTGCAGAAGAAGGGGGGCTGCCCATCCCGGGGTGAGACGGCGGCTGTGGCCCCGGGCTTCGACAACATTGTCTTCAATGCGGTAGGAGCCCCTGGGGGGGGGCAGGCGGGCAGGGGAGACCGCAAACCCCCTCCTGGCCTGCCCTGCCCGACCGACCGGGGCTGCACGTGTGGCTGCCTCCGTCACCCACCTCTCAGAAGCGCCCTCTTCCCACCTAGGATGGCGTCACCCTGCCGGCTTCGCTCTCCGGCCACCAGTAGATGACCCAGACCTGGCTCTCCACACGAGCATCCTGCATCCCCCACCCTGTCGGCCCCAGCCCTGGGAGACCTGCCCCTCCCCCAGGACGCACTGAGCCCCCGAGCTGTCAGCTGGCACAGAGACTGTCAGCCACGTACCTGGGAATGGTCCTCACCACCAATAAATGCCCTGGACTGTGAGGGCACCCCCACTTACTGGCTGAGGTCTGTGCATCCTGCTGTCGGCAGGAAGGTGGGCTCTTGGGGATCCCCAGCTGAAAGGATGTGCTTGGGGTACCTCCCACATGTCTCAGTGACTCAGGTGACAGGTAACAGGCAGGCCACACCAGACAGGACCAAGGGCCAGAGACACCAGAGACAGACACAGTGGGACCCTGATAAGCCCCTGTCCCAGGTCTGGCAGGCACCCCAACACTCAGGTGGCCCAGCCCGCCCCGTGGGACCCTGACCCGAGCCCTGTCCAGCCCCTGCCTTGCTGGGTGATTCTGCATCTGACTTAGGACACGTACAGGTGACAGACCGAGTAGCAAACACTTCACCGGCTGTAAGGTGGCGTAGAGCTGGTCTGAGGGGGGATGCTCTGCTGTGTCTACGGTTCTAAATAAAGGTCCCATGTCTGCTGTCCCATGGTAAATATCCTGTGTCGTAAGGGACGCCATGTATACCATCCCATGGTGAAGTCCAAGTGGCCCCCAGAATGACGTGTCTCAAAGCAGAGGTCACTCGGTGCCCTCGTGATGCTGCTGAGAAGGCCACTGACCTCACGGGCTCTGAGAATGAAGGCAACCCCCCTCTGAACGGTCAAGGCCCCTGGTGTGCCCACATACCCTCCCTGCCTAATAAAATGGAGCAGAATCTTTCTAACCCGGGGAGGGTCCCCCTGGGCATGCTGTCCTGGGGAGGGGGCGGGTGACATCCACACCCACACAGCCAGGTGCTCCCCTCCTGCCTGCAGGGAGGCTCCCCCGCCTTGCCATCCCGGCCCACTGGAGACTGCAAGCCAGGGGAGCACATGGGTCTGGAGCCCAGAGGCCCACGCCCTTGTCTGTCCCAGCAGCCGGGAACAAGGACGCAGCGCTGCAGAGGTGACCTTCCCGGTCCCTCAGGCACCCCGGGGCATGTCGCGAAAACCGTGTCTTCCCTACTCTGTGGGCCAGAGAGGCGCGCTGGGGGCGTGGCAGACCGCGCTGGACAGCAATGACTCTCCACCAGCAGGAAGGACAACAATTGTTTATTGGCTTCTCTAAAAGCCGGACTGAAGACGGCATCTTCTCTTCCGATCAGGCCGCCCCACCCCACAGCCCCGCCAGCGTGAGGTGGTCCCACTCAGAGCTCCCCGGGGAGCCACCCTGAGACTGGGCAGACACCGGGGATGGGAAGGAAAAAAGATCAGGAGAAGCAATACTTTGCAAGGTTTCGTTTGTTTGACAGCAGGTATGGGTTGAGGGGGTTCCTGGGCAGGGCTAATGCCCCGCGTTCCGCTCGGCCGCGTGAAGAGACCCACGCTGGCGCTGGTGGTCAAGGGGAACCAGCCAGACGAGATCAGCCGGAACGCACTGATTTCGAGGCTTTGTGTTCATTTCGCCCTTGGCCCCTTCTCAATCGGCTTCCCGATATCCTTCCCCCGGAGCTTGAGGCCTGAAAGAGCCATTGGCCCACTCATCGCCACAGCGGCCCCTCCGGGACCGAGAGGCAGCTCGGTGCCACGGCGCCCCCACCCATCATCTCCCTTCCTCCACAGGAAGGAGCGGCGGGGAGAGCGGGGGGCCGAGGACTGCCCCCCACCAGTCCTGGCTGGGCTCAGCCCACTGTCAGTGCACCTGCTAACCTTCCAGGGTAGCCCCTCCCAGAACTCGGGCTCCAGCGCTCCAGGAGCTCCATGTGCTGGGTGCCTCACTGCCACCAGGGGAGGGCCACCGAGCCCTTTGTCCATGGGCTCAAAGGGCGCCGGCCAGCAACAAAGGGGGGGACAGAGGAGACGTGAGAGCCAGGGTGGGGGAGCGGACGACACTCAGGCAATGCACTCAGGAGTCTCTTAAGGGCCTGGAGAACTCTGCGACCTCAGGGGCCTGCCTGTGCTCGGTAGCTGCCCTGCAGCTGGTCAGGAGGCAGCAGCGGAGACCCGATAAAGGCTACAGGACACTCACCGATAGCTCTCTCGATTTTGCCCAGAACCTGGTTATTGGGAATGGCCCGTCCGCTCTCGTAGTCTGCAATGACTTGCGGCTTTTCGTTGATTTTCTAGAGATGTATTTTGCGCACAACAGTTCAGTAAGAGCAGGCCATAAAACTAGCACAGAGCCGAGGGAGTCACCACATTCCGGGACAACACGCGGGCCAAGGGCCTGACGGGGGCAGCCCTCAGAGGCCCTGGGGTCTCCACACGATAGAAGCCACGTCACACTCATGAGGAAGTGACAGCTGGCCTGATACGGCTTCCCCAGAGAATGCCAAGGCCAAGGGCAAACAGAAGCCTCCCCAAGCTGGGCTGCGGTGCCTTCTGAACACCGACCTCCCGCCTGCCCGACCGCAGCCTGGGAGGAAGGGACCCGCCATGCTCACCGTTGCCAAGTCCTTCTGAGTCAGCCCCTTGCTCTGCCGGCCCTGCTGGATCACCTTGCCCACCTCCAGGGTCACCCGGTCATGGTGCAGCTCCTCAGTCTCCCGGTCCAGCTTGGCCGTGTTCTTGGTGATCGAATGCTGTTTGTTCTGGCCAGCGGCCCCTGGACCGGCACGAGGCAGAAGCGCAGCACAGGGTTTGCCACAAACCAAAAAAGAGCCATTTCAAAATGCGAACCAGGCCCAACAGGCGCCCTGTGCCAGGGTGACCCGGGAAGCCAGGCGTCCAAAACACAGGGAACCCCACGGGCTTACGAGCATGGGGCACTAAATCTTCCGGTCAGTTCCCTCCTGACTACGCCCAGGAAGGCCGCCGCTGACAGCCGTCCCGACACACCCCGGGGCACGGTGCGCGTGCTCTTGCCTGCTGCAAGAGAGAACCCGAAAGCACACGGCTGTTTTGTGAGGAAGCATGACTACTCACATTTCTTGGAAGTCTCCACATCCTCTCCTCGTCTCTGAGCTGCTAAGATGGCCTAGAAAACGTGGACACAGTTTCTGGTCAAAATCAGATCCGGCAGCGCCTGCAGACACCCCTGCAGGCTGCTGTCAGCTGGTCAGTACGCCGCGAACATCGGGGCCTCTGCAGCCCAGGTGGCCTGGCCCAGAGCTCGTGCCCTGAAGCTCTGTCCAAGACGGACAAGTGAGGCCAAGTCTAAAACCCAAGCTCGGGACACCTGGGTGGCTCAGTCGGTTAAGCATCTGCCTTCAGCTCAGATCATGATCCCAGGGTCCCGGGATCGAGTCCCGCATCGGGCTCCCTGCTCCGCGGGGAGCCTGCTTCTCCCTCTGCCTCTCTCTCTCTCTATCTCTCATGAATAAATAAAATAAAATCTTTAAAAAAAATAAAAATAAAAAAATAAAACCCAAGCTCAGTACGCAAAACCCTCTGCCACCAAATACCCAGGCACCTGTCCACAAGGCGCTACGCGGGAAAACCCAGCCCGCTTCTTCGCTGCTGAGAAACCCATGCTGACGACAGATCCACTCCTGCACAGAGCCACACCCACACCCCCAAACATCGCCAACCAGACCAACACCCTGTGCCCTCCATCTGCCAAACGTTAGTAAGATGTATTTCTTGACGATTCTACCGCCTCAGAAAAGAGACTGGGGCCGAGCTAAGGGTGCTATGTTCAAAGACGCTTTCTACGCGTGTTCACTCGACTCCTAGCTTGTAACTGCCAAGTTTCCTTGGGAAAAAAAGGACAGTGAATTGGGTTCTAACCCTGCAAACGAGCAGCTCAGGGCAGGTCAGTGAATGCCTGTCTCTGGGGCTGCAGCTAGTCCTGGCCCAGACCCGGCAGGCGGGTGCAGGCCCAAGGCCTCCTAAGGGTAGAAACTCGGCAGGGGTGGTCACTGACCCGCCCCTCCACACTTACACTGGACTCACATGTGAACTGTGGATAGATTAGCCAAGCTACAAACCTTCTGTCCCTCTCAAGGCATGTCAACTACACTCCAATGACCCAGAAGCAGAGTCCACCTGTGCCCTGGGTCTCCAGGCCACCTTGGCGCAGGGACAGGGAATGCCTAAAACCCCAAACGGGCCTCAGTGATGCTCCACAGCCAGCTTCAGACCGGCCAGGCACCAGCGGAGGAGACCTTGGGCGTGCCCATACTGCCTTGCAGCCCGTTCCCTCTGAGGTCCTCCCCCTCAACCTCCCCTGGGCCCCTGCTTGCCCCATCCCCGCTGTCACTGGCCGCAAGTCCACCCTGTCCCCATTCAGAGCCTCTACGACCTGGGGCCTTACCTAGGCCTCCCTGCCAGGCCTGTATCGCTGGCCCCAAACACGGCTGGACCCATCCTGGCCCAGCCGGTCCACGCCCCCACCACTTTCCTCCCCCCCGTCCTCCCGGCACCCCGACCGGTCCTCCCATACCCTGCCGCGGCCCCTCCCTCTCCCTGGTCCCTGGCCCTCTCCCCCACCCTACCTCTGTCGCACACTGTCCCCGCTCGGCCATTTTCCTTGCCCTGGTCTCCTGTCTCCCATCCCCGGCGCTATACCCTCACTCAGGCCCCTGGCTGGTCCCCCGGCCCCTGGCCTACCCAGCCCCGGTTCCCACCCTCATCCCAGGACCCCACCGCGGACCCCGGCCCTGCCCGGCCCCCAGCCCCCGC